ATCTCTGAGTGGTACAACAACAACTTTTTACAAGGAAAATTTTCAAAGTATCAGGTGATGAGTCTGGGCCCGAGGAACTGTCATAAGGATTTACACATTGTCGTTAATGACACATTGTCAAATTTGCTATACTACCTCATCTCACATGAAGTCAGACTGTCTGGCACATTTTTGTTGTTCATCTGATGTCAGAAAACTAGAACGAATTCAGGAACGAGCACTACGAGCTGTTTATTGTGACAATAAATCGACGTATGAGGAACTCTTGCAAAGAGCAAAACTACCAACACTTCATATGTGATGATTGCAAGCCATTGTAACCATAATGTATAAAGTCAAAAATGGTCTGGCGCCTCCTTACATTGCAGAATTATTTGTTGTTACCAATTCACAGTATTAGCTTAGAACTTCTGATTTCACCATACCCAGATTTCGGACTGTTGCTCATGGCATACATAGCCTGGCTTATTTAGGCCCTGTCATTTGGTCCAAACTCGACAAATCTATTCGATCTTCTGAGTCATGGCACACTTTTAAAATGCGCATCAAATTGGTTGATTTCACAAGCCTGCTGGACAATACTTGTAGAGACTGTTCTTTATGCAACAACTAACACTTGATCTTACTGCATGTTTTATATATATATTAAAACACTTACATACGTACATGTATTTCATATTTTATTAATTATTAGATAAGTAATCGTGGTTAGGTGTCCCCAATTAGTATACATTGTATGCTAGCGACCTCGACACGTTAATAAAGTTCTTATCTTATCTTATCTTATCTTGTCTCATCGACCGATCTTTACTCAGTGTTTGTAAGGACTCACGCATGCTTGCATTTGTGCCTTCCAGGGCCACTCATTTGCATCCCATTGAATTTGAATTATAGTTCTTTTTGTTGCTTTGTGCTTCGCTCTTAGGAGCGTATATTCAGAGACATATTACTATTAGTGGCCCAGTATTGTAAAATCGCTCCTGATGTTCTACTGTGTTTTAATAAACCTCACCTTCTAAAATGTTCCTCGAGGCATTCTTTGCAAAATCTGTGGCCGCA